TACAAATAAACAACCTAATGTTGCACCCCAAGCTTCTAGAAAAAGAAGAGCAAGTCAATGTAGTTTTCCTTTTAATTTTTCTCATAGGATATTTTTTACAGAAGGAAAGTTTTAAATGTTGATAGAGTCCAATTTATTGATTTTTTTTCTTCTAATGACTATGGTTTTGGTGTCATGGCTCAGAACACTTTACTAAGCTTCAAGTTTTTATGATTATCTCTTATATTTTGTTTTAAAAGATGTACATTTTTAATATTTAATCCATGATTCATTTTGAGTTAACTTGCTAATGTTTAGATTGAGGTTCCTTTTATTTTCTTTATGTGGATGTCCAGTCATTCAGGTACCATTTGTGGAAAAGATCATGCTTCTTTTATTGAATAGCTTTTGTACTTCTGCCAAAAACCAGTCAGTTGTCTGTACTTGTGGAATTTATTTCTGGATTCTCCATTCTTCACTGGTCATGTGTCTCTTGAGTTCAGAGGTCCCCAGGACCCTCCTTACTTCCACATTGTGTTAGGGTTCCCAAGACCACCCTTAGGTTTATCAAGGACACACAGAACTTGGGAAAGTAACTATACTCATAATTTATTCAGAAAAACAGACACAGATTAAAATCAGCAGCAGAAAGAAATAGTAGGGGGAGGCCCAGATGATGATGGGATGTGGAGCTTCTCTGGAGGCCTCCCCCAAAGCAACCATACAGGTAGTGCCTATATCTCATAACAACAGTGTGTGGTTAGATACATAGTACTGCCAGTTGGGAAGCTCATCTAGGACTTGATGTCCAGAGTTTTATTGGGGGCTTGGTTACATGAATATGGTTGACTACTTGCATGACTGACCTAGTTTCAAATCTCTGTAAGGGTCAATCTGATATGAAATGGCCCAAAGCATCACACCATAAATTATATCGTTAGCATAGGCTATTAAGCATGTGCCAAGGGCCCTAGGTACACAAAGTTACTTTTATTAGGTAGGACATTCTCGGGCTCAAGGGTTATCTCCCAGTAAGATAGATAGATCCCTCTATTATTGGACAGGAGCCTATCTCTCCCTCTAGATCTACTAGTTCTTGTCAGATAAAGTTGGGTGCTCTGACATTAAATGCATGTAGATTTACAGCCATTATATCTTGTTGATTTGACCCTTTGATCATTATTGTACAGTGATCTTTGTTTCTTACAGTTTTTGTTGTAGAGTCTCTTTTGTCAGGTGTAAATATACTATTCCATGTGTCTTCACTGGTAAAGTAAATTTCTTATAAATAGTATATAATTGGGTCATTTTTGAAAATCTATTAAAACAGTCTGTATCATTTCATTGGAAAACAACAATTATTTACAATCAAAGTTATTATTGAAAGTTATGGACTTTTCTTTCCATTTTCTTTATTTTTTCTAGTTTTTTTGCATATTCTTTGTTCTTCTCTTCCTCTCGTTCATTATTATGGTTTTATGGCTTATTGCATTAATAATATTGATTCTTTTCTGTTTCTCATTTGTGTATCTACTTTTCTAGTAGGGTTCATACTTTCACATGCTTCCATGATAAAAGTTATCTTTCAGTCACATCTGAAAAATGTGTAGAACTTTCTTAAAAATATTTTTTTAAAAATAGTACTGCCAGTACAGTTCTACCATCTGTAGAACTTTCTTAAAAATATTTTGGAGGCTGCTGTGGTTGTCATGAAATCCCTCAGTTTTTTCTCTCTTAGGATCTCTTATTTTTCCTTCATTTCTGAAGGATAACTTTTTTGGCTACATTAATCTTGGTTAAACAGTTAATTTCTTTCAAGATGTGAAATATATCATTCCATTCCTTCCTGGGCTTTAAGACTTCTGCTGAGGAGATACCATTAAATGTGATGTGATTCTTTTCTCTCGCAGATTTTAAAATTTCTTCTTGATCTTGTATTCTTGATGGTTTAACTGTAAAATACTGTAGTGAAGATCTTTCCTGATCTCATGTCTACTGGGACTCTATAAACCTCCTGCACATGGATACCTATACCTTTCCCAAGATTAGGGAAGTTTTCTGCTATTATTTTCATTGGCTTTCTATGTCTTTAACTAAGTCTTTAACTTTTTTCTCTTTGCCTTTGTTTATTCCAAAAATGCAAATTTTTGGTCATTTAATGGTGTTCCAAAGGTCTTGAATATTCCTTTCAATTTTTTCTTGCTTGTTTAAGTTTGTTTAGTTTTCTTTTTCCTCCCTGACTGGAATATATCAAAGGACTTGTCTTCCATTTCAGCTATTCTTTCTTCAAGTTGTCTGGTTTTTTGTTGATGTTTTCAACTGTATTTTTTTATTTGACTTTTTGAGTTTCTCGTTTCCAAGATTGTGTTTGGTTCTTTTTCAAAATTTGTGCCTCTATTTTTCATTGATATCTTGTATTCTTTTTAAATTTCACTTAACTGTTTAATTGCATTCCTTTGAACCTCACTGGGCTTTTTTATAATCATTCTTTTAAACACTTATTAGGCATTTCATCCATTTCAATTTCTTTGGAATCTGCTGCTAAAGAGTTATTTTCTTTTAAAAAACAACTTCCAAACTTTCAGAGCTGCTTCAGAATGTGGCAACAATGATGGGATAAAAATATATGAAGAGAGGGGTTGTATTCTGAAGGAGATTAATGGAAATGTATATTTTATTGTAATACTTTTTTGTGTTTAAACACACACTGTATTTTTTATCAGCCCTTGTACAATTCATTGTATTCAATTGTCTTTTTAATGCCTTATTTTAGTCAGTTTCCTTGTTACTGGGACAAAATACCTGATACCCACAACCATAAGGAGAATAGGCTTATTTTGGCTCATATTTTCCATCCATGACCCTCTGGCTCCAAAGCAGGACAGAGTGGCAGAGAGACACAGCAGAATAACCATTTGCCCCATGGCAGCCTGAAAGCAAGAGAGTGGAGAGAGGAGCAGAGAAGGAGATGTGCTCTTCCAGATCATGGCTCCAGTGACCCACCTCTTCTAGCCAGGGCCTGCTCCCAATGCTAAGAAAGATGTAATTCCCCCATGATCCAGTCATCTTCCACAAACCCTGCCTCAGAGCTTATGAAGCTTTGTGGGGGACATCCAAATCCAAAGTATAACATGTGTGTAGGATTTCTAGTGATGATCTCTCTTTCAATCCAGATAGTGGTAATTTGTGTTTTCCTTTTATTATTGCTTAGTATAGCCAGAGGACTACTAGTCTTGTCTTTCAGTAAATCACCTTTTGGCTTTATTGGCTTTTCTGTACAGTTTTCCTATCTTCAATGTCATGATTTCTGCTATAAATTTTAGTTATTCGATTTCTTCTAATTGTTTTAGGTTTTTCTCTCCTAAGACAGAATTTTAGACTATTGATTTTTAAAATATTTATTCTCTACTAATATTTTGGTTTGTATTTATATCCGTAAATGCAGAAAAAAAGTTGGTGAAAGGGTAGAATAAAGAAAAGAAAAGCATCAATAACCTGTTTCCCTGTTTTCACTCCCATTCTAATTCCTTCTGCTTTGTAATCAATGAAATCTTAAATTCTTAGCAGTTCTTTTTTTAAAAAACAATGTCTTCTTTATTTCACAGGACTTTATATGGAGGCTAACATATACCATATTTCCCCAAAATAAGACCTAACAAGGAAAATAAGGCCCAGCATGATTTTTCAGGATGCTTATAATATAAGACCTACCCTCCAAAATAAGCCCCAGTTAAGATTATTAGCCAAATGGATGAATTTAGTATGTTTGATGCAGCACACAGTGAACATTCTGGATTATAAAATAATGATATTAATATATAATTAAATATAAATAAATATTATTGACATTAATACTTAAAATAAATGTTAATATAATTTATAATTCAATATTTATCCAAGCAAGCACCTGTGGATGAGAGGTAAGTGTCAATGTAAATAGGTGAACTTGAGACTTATTGCCAAATGAAAGATCAGAATTTAGATACAACAGTGAATAACATATACACTTGGTAACAAACAGATATGGTTGTGTCTAATGTAAATCTTCATAATCCAATAACTGTGTGCTATAACAGACATACTTAATATACTCCTGTGCAGTAAGGAAACATCTTCTGAATTTTGGCACCTGCAATTTTTCGTTACGTTTGTGTGAACCATTATCCTTAACTGTCTTTTTATTGGTGCCACCCTGTCTCATAAGTCTTCAATAAACACTTGATTTAATGCCAACTTTGTGAAGCTCAGCCTGAAAGAGGTCATGCCTTTGGTGAAGAATTCATTGGAAAAATCACTGACAGCTGTGTTGCCAGTGCACTTCAAACATGTTCTACATGGACAAGAAGTGCTCATTTATGGACAGTTCTAATACTAGACATGAGAGAATGGGACCAAGGATTCTACAGGAAATGGATTCACAAGAAATTCAAGCCAAAAGTCAGGGTTTAGAGAGTTATGATAGTGTTCCAGAAGAGGATGGCATGACTGTATTTGAATAAGTGTAGATTTTTGCACATGAATAAATGTAGATTATTGTACATGAAAATGAATGCATCCCTGAAAATAAGATCTATAGCATCTTTTGAAACAAAAAATAATGTGAGATCCGGTCTTATTTTCAGGGAAATATGGTAGAAGAAAAGATAAATACTCTACTGGATATCATAAGCTACTGGACTGCCATAAGTGATATCTTTACACACCATTGGGCTATTACTGAACATATACAAGGTACTTCATGTGGACCAAGGTAAAGTTGACTCCACAAGCAGTTGAGTTTACTTCCACCCAACCCTGTAGTTCTACAGGATTACATCTCATCTCAGTTTCCTCTAATAATTTCTAGAATGTCATGCACATTCAATGATGCAAATTAATGGTCTGATGATCTTGGTGGCATGACATTCTCCCTCTTTCTGGTTCAACACACATGATAACCCAGTAAAAGTGATCACTTTGAGTCCCAGCTTTGCAGTGCTCTTGATTCCTCAGGACAAAGAGCTCCCTCTCTCACAGAAGCCATGAGTTTCCTGATGCTGACCTTGACTATCTGTGGGTTGTTATCTCAGCTGGCCGCAGGTAATGGAACTGTGTAAAGTAGGGATGATGGAACCAGGTTAAATTGTTTCACTGGACTCTCACAGGAAAAGTCTTAGACCAATAAGTAGCAACAGATATGGTCTTATTTTGACAGCTCCATGCTCTACTCTCTGCGAATCTTTCTGGTAGGAACATCCAGCAAGCTGAAATGTCCTCTAAGACATTTCTCCAAAAGGCAGGAATCTTCTCAGTGCTCTCAGTTGCCCCATCTGTCTTATCCAGTGTTATCTTGACCTTGCTTCTCTTTTATTTTACTTACATCATTGCTGAGTTCTATTAGTTCAGTTCTTCCTACCATCTTGAATTTGTCTTGTACCTTTAAAGGGATGCTTTCATTTTCATGTTCTTACTACAGTAGGCACATCTATCAGTACTGTATATTCTGCTGGTTGATCATGTGGAAGAGAAAACATGTAAGTCTGAGATGGGAGAATGTGGGTAAGTAGATGGAGATGGCAGGGTAGAAAGCCTGGTGACTAGTGAGGACCTTCCAATTTCAGGTCCGTACGCCTTCCTAGTAACAGTGCTACCTTTGAGAGTTCTCTTATATTGAAAAATAATACTTGCAATTCATTTATGTATCTAGAAATTAATAATATTTAATGAGTTTAAGGAAAAGGGAATGACTATCCTAAGCAAGGATACTAGCACTTCAGTTTCCCCTTCAGAATCAGTGTTACCAGTTTCTTATATATCCTAGCAGATACAAATATATATATATTGCTTAATTATATATTATATAAAATATAATTCCACATTATGTAACTCTCACAAATGATCCTGCAAGAAAAAATTTTTTAAAAAAGGTCTTTCCAGTCAGGACTGGACTAGAGAGAGAGAGATTATCAAACTACCCATCAAAAACTACACTAAGTTCTGCTTCTATCACCTGTTTCAAGAGAGTCAGTTTCCCATACACTCATCAAATTTTTTTCTATTATTTTCTGAGTTTTATAGTCTGGTGGGTGAAAATAGTGTTTCTTGTCATTTGAATTCATGACATTTTAATTGTAATTGATTTTGAATATCTATTCCACTAGAATAGAAAACTGACTTGTTAAATCTGGTATTAAAATTTGCTTAGGAAAAAGCTTTGCATTTCTATGAGGTGGCTATAAACATGCTTATGTTCCTACATTTTACTCACACATTGGTGCAATACATGAACTGGAGAATTATTATCTGCATTCATTTTGTTTGTTTGTTTTTATCTTCTTGAGACAGGGTCTCTCTATGCTGTTCAGCCTGGTCTTGAACTCCTTTTGTAACTCAGGCTGGTCTTAAACTCACAACAATCCTTCTGCCTCAACCTCCTGAGTGCTGGAATTACAGGCATGTGCCATTGTTTCTGATTACGAACTATTTGTCATAATTTTGGAGTTTTTCAATTGTAATAAAGTAAAAATGAAGTCTTGCTGTATTTCTCTCAAAAAAATGTGTAGCCTACTTATAAATTTCCTTTCACATTATTAGTATTTTTCCATTTACCAAATAACATCAAACATTATATTTTAATTATTATACAGGCTTGTATTTTGGTTATTGTATAAAATTTCACTAAATCTTATGTATGTAATTTCACTAAATGTATGCTGTATATGTTATTATTCAATAATTATTAAATTATTTTTGCAAAAATAAATATATTTGTGTTTTAAGTACAAGGCCAGCTAATATGACCTTTCATTTTGCACTAGTGTATGTCTGTGATACAGAACAGTGGTGTTGATTTGGGGGAATCAGTGAATGCCTATGATATATCTTCCTCATCTTCAATCCTTTCACCTCCCTCTGGCTTCCCTCCTCATCCTTTCTGATTAGCTAGAAAAAAAATTTCTCCCATTCTATAGGTTGTCTTTTCATTCTATTGATTGTTTTTGTTGATGTGATATAATTCCATTAGTTGATTCCTGATACTATTTTCTATACTACTGGATTTCTCTTCAGAGAGTCTTTACCTGTACCAAAGACTTCAGGAATTTTCCCTATGTTAATTTCCACTGATTTCAGAGTTTCTGTTTTTACATCAAGGTCTTTAATCTGTCTATTCTAATTTGATTTTACTATAGCACTAGAGTTAGGGATTCAATAATTTCCAAGTGGATATTCAGTTTTCCTAGCATGTCTTGTTACAGAGGCTGTATTTTCTCCAACCTATGCTTTTGGCCCCTTTGTCAAAAATTAAATGACTATAGGTGCATGAAATTGTTTGTGTGTCTTTCTTTCTATTCCATTGGTCTACATTTCTGTTTTTGTACCAGTGTCAGTATAGCTTTTTAATAGGAACTGAAATCCAATATTGTGGTATTTCCAGTTTGCTCTTTTTGCTTACAATTTCTTGGCCTATTCTGGGTATTTTCCTAGTCCACATGAATTTTTAGGATTGTTTTAGGAGTGTGTAGGTCTGTGAGAAAAGTTGTGGGTATTTTAATAGGGATTTCATTAAATCTATAGATGACTTTTGGTAGAGTGGCCACTTTAACAGTATTAATTCTGCCAATCCAAGAACACAAAGAATACCTTTCCATTTTTTTATGTTCTCTTCAATGATACTTGATATAACTTTCCTTATATCCTTTGTGCATTTGCCATTTGCATACATAGCATCTTGACCCGTAAGTGTCAGTATCCCAGCTGCTTTGCCAGATGCTTGTGAAATACACCTTACGGGCTATTGCCAAAATGCCAGGAAACTGGCAGCTTGCTCTGGGATCATGTGTCAGTTCTGAGCTGGTAGGATGGTAGGAAAATATTCTAGCCCTGTGACCCCCAATTAGTATATCTAGGCTTGTTTTCTAGCCTGGCTGCTAGAGATTCCCCCTCAGACTGTGCTCTGGTCAACTAGAGTGGTAACTGGCTTCATGACTCATCTTTTTCTGACTCCTGACTTGCATGCTGAATTGTTTTGTGAAGGGAGAATTGCTTTTCAATTAAACTATTACACACAAATCATCTAGGGTCACATTTTCCTGTTCTGACACATTTGTTTTCTGGACTGGGGATCAAACCCAGGGTCTTTGAACTGAGCTACAACCTCAGTCCTTTTTTATTTGGAGACATGTTCTCACTAAGTTATAAAGTTACACAAACTGGGTTCAGACTTGCAATCTTCCTGCCTCAGCTTCCCAGAGAGTTATGATTACAGGCACAGGCCACCACCCTGGCCTGTTTTACTTTGTTTTCTGAGGTTTTTTTCCTCCTTTCTGATCTCTTGATATTGAAACTGACCAGAATTTAATTCTACCTCTCTGTTTTTCTCATATTGCTCCAATGGCTTACCTATAAGTAGTGGCTCCAAAATTCATATCTGTAGTTAAAACCTCTCTTGTCTCTTAAATACACAAGCAATTTCCTCAGCACTGACACTGAGCCTTTCTGCTTCCTTCCTGAAGCAATCTTTCCCTCTGACTACCTTGCTGGCTCATTTTTAACATTGTCTAGGTTTTATTATCAGCTCTAAGAGACCCTCCCTCTTCTCCCCTCCTCTTCTCTCCTCTCCATGTCACAATTTTTATTTATTTTGGTTTTTTTTTCACAATTTTTAATACATGACATATTTTCCAGTTTGTCTCTCTCAATTACTTTTGGTATTGGTCATCTTATTAATCTAGCTGGCACAGGTAATAGTTGCACATTTCTGAATGAATGAAAAGTTGTTATATTGATGTTAAAGTTAAAAATTTGACCTACTTTATATTCCCTGCAGCTGCCTGGAGTATACCAAAATGCTGGAATAATGTGGGACACTGCAGAAGACGATGTTTAGATACTGAAAGGTATAAACTGCTTTGTAAGAACAAGGTATCATGCTGCATTCCCATACGAAAGTCATATGCCAACACTCCAAAGCCACCACCTCCCTTAATCCCCAACTTACATGATATAACAATTGATATAAGTAATTGGAAACCTGCTTCACCAGGACTTAGTGATGAGGTAACAATGGATGACACTGAGTCTGAAGAAACCACAGCAACGATAATTGAGACTTTTAAAGCTGTTCCTTAAAAGTCCATGGTGCCACCTTTTGAGATGACACTATTGGGCAACAAAAATACTGCTAAGAAGACTATCCAGGGAGCTAGCTCTGTCAATCTAATTTCACTGGGATAATTTCATCAGACGCTGCATGATCATGAGGATGGATGCAATCCCTAAGCCCAAGACACAAGCAAAACAATTACAAATAGAAATGAATAAATGTGAGAAAGCTCTTTACTGGACTTAAATTATTTTAGGTATCTTCTGATTTATTAAAATGTGTGAGCTATCTTGGCCTAAGTAAACCCATGTGTGTCTGTGTTTTTATTACTATTTTAATTATAGATATTTATAGTCTGTAATCTAATAATTCAACACATGCACACAATGCATAGTGATCAAATTAAGGTACTTAACATGTCCATGTCTTCATACACTTTAAAATATTTTATAGGCATGTAATAATTATACACATTTATGACATACAGTGTAATATTACTATACACATGTACAATATGTACTCATTAATCAGGGTAACTATTGCTTCATCTGTTCATTGCTAGTTTGTATTTAGGGACTTTGAATTCTCTTTTAGTTAGCCATAAAGTACACAAAAATTACTGTAAATTACAGTAACCTAATTGTGCTACCAAACACCAGAAATTATTACTTCTATATAACTGTGTTTGGGTACTTATCAACTCACACTCAACTTCCTAATAACTCATCTTTCCTAACCTCTAGCACTCACTACTCTACATTCAAATAGAATATTTTTTAAAATTCAGTTGTAGTTTCCTATGTTTTACTACTAGTGTGTTTGCAGTACATAATAATTACCTTCATCTTGGGCAATTGGGATATATAAATATAGATTTACTGCTCCTCTCTCTTCACCTTCCCCTCTCTCCTTTATCTAGAGCCACAAACTCTGCCTCCCCATTTTCTATCATATCACTTTTATTTTACTCTCGAAAATTGTTTATATATTGGGTTTCTCATATAAGAGAAACCAAATGATAGTTTATCTGTCTGATTTATTTCATTTAGTATTATGGTCTCAAGGTGCATCTACTTTGTACAAGTGACTCAAAATTATCTTTCTTTATGCCTGTGTAGCACTCCTTCGTGTATACATATCATATTTTCTTTACCCATTCATCTCCTTATGGGCACATAGTGGGTTACTTCCATGATTTAGCTATTGTGAATTGTGATGCTATAAACATGGATAAGCATGTATCACAGAATTATGATGTCTTTAAGTCTTGTGAAGACATCCAGAAGAAGGGTAGCTGAGCTGTATGGAATGGCTATTTTTATTTTTTGAGGAATTTCCATGCTGATTTCCATAGTGGTTTTATACTAGTTAACATTCCCATCAACAATGTAGAAGGGATTTTTTTCCCCACGACCTTCTTATCATTTGTTGTTTTGGGGTCCTTTGTAGCCATTCTTTCTGGAGAAAGACAGAACCTCAATATTTTTGTTTTTATTTTTTGTTTGTTTTATTTTTCTTGCTCCTTTAAAAAATTTTTTATTTGAGACAGCGAGTTCTCTGGGAGTGGCAGGGCTCGTGGGTTTGAGTCTGTACTGGATGCACACCACCACGATTCCCAGCTGAAACATGCGCAGAGACCCAGGTACTTCCCATCTAATCCCTGAGGACAGAACGCGAGAACAAAGACCCCGCAGACATTACAGACTGAGTTGCTGCAGCACAGAGAGGCCCAGGGGACTGGCAGGGCACGCAGGCTCTCTGAGCTGGCTGAGCAGGCTCCCCCAGCCCTGCGTGCCTTGCGCCAAGACAGCGAGTTCTCCGGGAGCGGTAGGGCTTGTGGGTTCGAGTCTGTGCTGAATGCACATCACCACGATTCCCAGCTGAAATGCGTGCAGAGAGCCAGGTACTTCCCATCTAATCCCTGAGGGCAGAATGGGTGAACAAGAACCCTGCCGACATTACAGACTGAGTCGCTGTGGCGGCAGACAGGAGATCTGGAATGAGTGGCCCAGGGACTTCTCCAGCTGGGGGCTGGGTGAGCAGGCTTTCTGAGCCAGGCGAGCAGACTCTCTGAGCCCCACGCACCCTGCGCCAAGAGAGCAAGTACTCTGGGAGCTGCAGGGCCCATGGATTCGAGTCTGTGCTTTGCCTTTGCCCAGACCCTCCAGCAAGTCGAAGGCTGGGGAAGTCTGTGACCGCTACCCATCTGGGCTGAATCTGGTTCCTGTATGAGTCCTGAACTGAGTGGAGACATAGATTTAGGTGATTCACAAACTGTAGACCCTGCAGTTTGTGTCCAAATTATGCGTGTACCCTAAACCACCTGGAGACATAGGTCCACTGGAGCGGGATTGTC